CAGTGTTGCATAGATGTGCTGAGAGCAGACATCCTCGTCTTGTCACTGATCTGAGGCGGGTAGTTTTCAGTCTTTCACCATTGAGTGTGATATTAGCCCTGTATCAGGTTGAGGAAATTTCCTTCCATTCCTATTTTGTTGAATAGTTTTTATCATGAAGAGGTGTTATATTTTGTCAAATGCTTTTTCTGCATTTATTAAGATGATAGTTTTTGTCTTTTTTCTATTGATATGGTGTGTTCCAGTAATTGATTTTTAAATTTTAAACCAACCTTACGTTCCTGGAATAAAACTTAGCATGGTATATAATTCTTTTTATATGTTGCAGAATCTATTTGTCAACATTTTGTTGAGGATTTTTGTGTCTATATTTGATATTTACTGACTTATTAAAACTAAAATTTAATTGAAAGAAACTTAAACATACAAAAAGTATAGAAAGCAATGTGATGGACATCTGCTTCCCCAAATTAACCCGTGCCTAAAGAAACACATTAGCTTTTGTCTTATTTTTGTCGGGATGGTCTTCTTTTCCCTTCACCCCTCTGCCTGCTCTTCTCAGCTCCTCTCTCTCCCTCCCTTCTGTAAAGTAAAGTATTAAGTTTAAGGACTTCCCTGGTGCTCCAGTGGTTAAGAATCTGCCTTCCAGTGCAGGGGATGCGGGTCCGATCCCCAGTCAGGGAACTAAGATCCCACATGCCACGGGGCAATGAAGCTGGTGCACTCTAGAGCCTGTGTGCCACAACTACTGAGCCCATGTGCCACAACTAGAGAGCCTGTGCACTGCAACGAGAGATCCCTCATGCTGCAGCTAAGACCTGATGCAGCCCAATAAATAAATATTTTTTAAAAAATTAAAAGAAAAAAGTATTAAGTTTAGTGCTGGCGAAGATGAGGAAGTCCCCTTCAGGCTGCCTCTCCCGCTGATTACAGGTAAAAACTCTGGACAAAATATTAAAAGAAAAAGTGTGCAAAAGGCAATAGGTTGGAAACGGCAGTTGGAACTTGAATCAGTGACCACAGGTGTGAGTTTTCCATTTTTTCACTCTTCCTCCTCGTGGCTTTGACCCTAGGCCAGTTCCCAGTTGTGGGCCTGGGCAGTGAGGGCTGCTGTACCCCATCTTTCTGCCTGTAGCAACTATGAAAGGGGCCCAACAAGCAGGGGCATGTGAGAGAGAGGCAAAGGAACTAGAATAATCCAAACAGTTTTGGAAAAAAAAAGAGTTGGAGGACTCTAGCAGATATCAAGACTTACTATGAAGCTATAATCAAGGCACTGTGAAACTGGCAAAGGATAAATGCATAGTCAGTGGGACAGAATGGACACTCCCCAGATGGGCCCACACAAATGTGGTCTGTTAGTTTTTGACCAGGGTGTGTGCAAAGGCAATTCAGTGGAGAAGGGACAGTTTTTTCAACAAGAAGTGTTGGAAAAACCAGACGTCCATCTGCAAGAAAGGGAAACTTGACGATACTTTGTATGTTATATAAAAATTAACTCAAAATTGATCGTAGATCAAAAGTAAAACCTCAAACTTTAAAACTTCTAAAAGAAACCAGAAAATCTTTGTGCTCTTGGGTTAAGCAAAGCATTGTTAGATATGACATCAAGGGAATGATCCGTAAATGAAAAGGTGGCGAGTTGGAATTCATCCAGATATAAAGATTGTTGTTGTTTTTTAATGTGGACCATCTCCAAGGTCTCTGCTGAATTTGTCACAATGCTGCCCCTGCTTTACGTCTGGTTTCTTGGCCTTGAGTCACATGGGATCCCAGCTCCCCAACCAGGGACTGAACCCGCACCCCGCGCGTTGGAAGGTGAAGTCTCAACCGCTGGACTACCAGGGAAGTCCCGTCAGAGTTTAAAACTGCCATTCTTCTGAAGAGGTAAGAGAAGGAAAGACAAGCCGCAAAACTGCGAGGAAATGCCTGCGAATTACATATCTAACACCGAACTTCTAACCACGATGTGGAAGGAACTCTCAAAATTCAGTAAGAATACAAATAACTCCTCAAAAAAGTGAACAAAAGATTCTAGCAGACACTTTGCCATAAAAGACGTGCAGTTTAAAAGTAGGCATGTGAGAATACCCAGCTGGTCGATACGAAAGTGCAAATTAAACCACAGAGAGGCAGCACATCTCTCGGCACAGCTATAATTAGAAATTCATTAAACAGGGGCTTCCCTGGTGGCGCAGTGGTTGAGAGTCCGCCTGCCGATGCAGGGGACACGGGTTCGTGCCCCGGTCCGGGAGGATCCCACATGCCGCGGAGCGGCTGGGCCCGTGAGCCATGGCCACTGAGCCTGCGCGTCCGGAGCCCGTGCCCCGCTACGGGAGAGGCCACAACAGTGAGAGGCCTGCGTACTGCAAAAAAAAAAAAAAAATCATTAAATTTTGAAAAGACCCTCCAAGCCAAGTGCTGTCGAGGGTAGGAGCAGATGCGGCTCTCACACACTGCTGGTGGGAACGCAGAGCGCTGCGGCTGCTTTGGTAAATGGTGTGGCAGATAAAGGCGACCCGTACTTACTAAATGACCCAGCAGACCCCTTCTGAGGTATTCGCCCAAGAGAACTAAAACAGGTTTACACAAATACCTGTGTGTACATCTTTATAGTGTCTTTATTCTCAACTGCTAAAACCGTGAATGGCCTGTTCCCCAGCTGGTGGGTGTATAAGCAGGTGCGTTCATGCAGTACAATTAACTACACAGCAGCAAAAGACATGTTCCTGATACTCCCGAGACATGGGCACATCGCAGATGCACTGTGCTGAGTAGAGGAAGCCAGGCTCCAGAGGTTCTCTGGGTACAAGGCCATTTACAGGACGATCGGGAAAGGGCAAAACGACAGTGACCGAAGACACAAGCGGTGGCCAGGGTTTGGGTCGAGGAAGGCCTGCCCACAAAGGCGCTGCTCGGGGACAGAACTGCTTTGTGGTGGGGCCATGGTTACACGCCTCATGCATTTGTCTAAATCTCAGCGCTGGCACCAGAAGGAGTGATTCTTCCTGTGTGTAAACTTTAGAAAGTGGGTCCGGTGAGAGAGAAATTAGAGCTACAGATGAGAGCTAGAGCCGCATCCGCACCCGCCCTCCACCCCTCCCGCCTGGGTCACCGCAGTGCTGTCCTGTGTGTGTTACTGTGCTCTCACTGGTGTGTGTGTACATCGGTGGTGCGACACGACGTGCGTCTTTCTGCGCTCGATCCATCCCTCAGCGTTGTGCCTCTGCGTGTATGCATGTAGGTGGTTTCTTCTGTTGGCATTTGCTGTCTCAGTCTGCTCTGGCTGCCACGACAGAATGCCACGGGCTGGGACCTTAGACAACAGGACTTCATTTCTCACAGTCCTGGAGGCTGGAAGTCCCAGATCAGGGTGGCAGCCAGTTCAGTTTCCCGTGAGGCCATGTCCCGGCCTGCCGACACACAGCAGAGGGAGGGAGCACGCCGGTCCCCTCCTGTCAGGGCACCGATCCCATCCTGGGACCCACCCTCCCAGCCTCCTCTAACCTAGTCACCTCCAGAGGCCCCACCTTCTATCCCATCCCCCGGGGTGGGGCTCGACACGCGACACGTGCATATTCGGGACACAGACAGTCCACAGCCCTTGGTAGCAGCTCCCTTAGTGGTTAATAATGTGCCGCCTGTCAGTCAGAACGTGTGTGGCTTTCAGTGTCGAGGTGAACTGCTCCGCGAGGCCCGCAGTCCCCACCTCGTGTGCACCCTGGGGCTGGCCGCCTAGGGGTGGGCGCCGCAGCCCTGACCAGCTGCTGAGTGGTCTCCCGGTGGCTGAGGTGCCCTGCGCCCCCTGCCAGCTTCTGCATCCCCCACGCCCTTGCCGCCTGTGCAAAGCTGACCTCTCATCGGCGCCCTTTGCACCTCCCGGGCTGCTGCGTATCTTGTACGTGTATCGGCACTTTGTCCTTCCTGTCCGGAAGTCCCCGTTAGCCTCCCTTCTGCACTCTGGGGGCGGGGTTCTGGTTTTGTCTTGTCCTGGGAGGCTCGGCTGTTAGTTTTGACATCCAGCCACCCCTCGGAGCTCCTCCGCCTCACTCTCCCCCGCCCTCAGGCTCCTGGCGCTTTGCCAGGGTCGGCAGCGTCCTCTTCAGGGTGAAGACCAGGGCGCCCTTTCGTTTCCAGTCTTCCCTCTCAGGGGGTTTACCACTCGGGCCACCCGTCCGAGGGAGCCCTGGCGTCCTGCACTCCGGACCCCCTCCAGCTCCGTCCCGGGCACCTCGGCGCAGTGCTTCCCGCACGCCACCGCGGGGCATCCCGTCCTCTCTGATAGCATTTGCGGGTGACTCCAGCCCCGACCTCTCTCCCGACCTCTCGATGCTGGCCCTCTGCCCAGGCAAGCTCCGTGGCAGAGGACGCGTGCTGCCCTTCAGCAAGGAGCCTGGTGCCTCCCAGCGGCCACGGCCTGCCCCCCTGGGGTTCCCACTGCGGGGCCCCGACTCCATTCCCAGGAGGCACTGGCATCTCTTCTGCCCGGAGCCCCGTCAGCCGGCACCTCGCTTGTCTTCCCAGCCCACCTCTGATACTGAGTTGTCCAGGGAGCTCTGCCGTGGGGGCTTCGCTGGCGGTGCCCGACCAGTCCCCCAGGCCGCCTGCCAACAGGAGGAGCGAGAGCGCCCTCCAGTGGGGCAGCAGCCGGGGCAGCTGGCTTTCCACGCAGAACTTTGATTCCCCCAAAGGTCGCATCATGGCTGGGATGCAGGGTGCAGTGGGAGCAGGGACACGGTGGTGTCTGGTTGGGGTCGAGGGTGTCACGCCCGGAGCACCCACCGTACGTGCCGTGTGCCTCCGCTTGCCTCTCCTGTCCCTAGAGGGGACACGGTCGCAGGGTGTGTCTCCCAGGTCACAGGCCCCTCTTCTAGAAGGCTGGCTGGGAGAGGAGAACAGGGCAGAGGAAGCAGCGGCAGGGCCCCTCTGCCCAGCCCCGCCCAGCCTGTGTCACGGCCCCCAGGAGCACCCCACGGGCTCAGACCTGTGCTTCTTCCCAGGCACCACGATGTCTGGGCCCCAGACCCCAGAGCCGGCCCTAGGTGGGCGGGGAGCCTCCTCCACGGGCTCACAGGACGAGGACACGGCTGACGGGATCCAGAGCTCGCATCGCATGCTCAGCTTCAGCGACGCGCTTCTGTCCATCATTGCCACCGTAATGGTCCGTGCGGGCCCCGCGGCCACTGGGGGTGTGGGGAGGAGCCGCCCAGCACTGGCCTGCGCCCCCGGCACGTGGCGTCCAGGGAGCAGTCGGTGCCCAGCCCAAGAAGTGTTCCCGGGTTCGTGTTGTGTCTGTTCTCCTAGATCCTGCCTGTGACCCACACGGAGATCTCCCCGGAACAGGTACTTGGGAACAGTCTGCAGTGTCTGGTGTGCGGGCGAGGGTCCAGGAGGCTCAGGCCCTGAGCTCGAGGCCGGGCTCCACTCGGGCGTACCCGGCTGGGAGGGCCAGGCCATCCGCCACGTCCCCCAGTGATGCCATCCAGCCCCGGTGCCCTCGCGCTGAGCCCTGAGCAATGCAGGAGCGCCTGGAGGCTGGCGCGGACTGTGCCGGCAGGCGTCGCGGGGAAGCTCCCTGGGCTCTCTGTCGCGCTGGCGTGCCTCTCAGAGCAGGTGCTTGGGGGCAGAGGGCGGCCGGCCTGCTGGGCGTGGGCCTGCGCCACGAGCAGGGAGGTGAGTGGGAAACGAGGTTTCTGTAAAGCAGAGTTTCCATGGCTAGTCAATTTGGAATATTTCCATTTTATAAGTAAAATGGCCACACGTCGCAGCACCTCAGAAACCGGACGTGATTCCGGGAGACGTTCGGAGTTCGTGGGCGTGTGTGCGCGCGAGCACGGGTCTCTGGGCCCCTCACGTCGAGTGGGTGTCACCTCTGGGCTCCAGGATGCGCAGTGCTGGCCCAGGACGTGTGGCCGTGGTCTGGCTGCAGCCCAACCAGCACACTTAGCCTGGACACTGCCGGGAGTCATCTGCGGGAGGTGATATCGCTACTTCTCGTAGCGTTTGGATGAGAATTAAACAGAAATGATGGTCGAGCCTGACCTTGGCAACTGGCACCTGGCACGGTGAGCAAAGGGCCCCGTGCGGCTTCCTCTGCTCCGGGGCACCCCCCCCAAAGGGGGCCTGGGGGCTGCGCTCCGGCCAAGCTCAGGAAAGCCGTGTGCCCACCGGGGGCCTCGACGCTCTCCTGGCTGTGCCTGCCCCAGAGCCTTCTGGGGACCTCGGTGCCACCAGGCTCAGAACAGGGTGGTGGGTGTGCACGTGAGATGCGGGAGGGGATGGGATGCGCGGGCCTGGAGCTCCTTGCCTCTCTGCGGTCGGGGTCGTGACCTCTGTTGACCCACGAGAGGGCTCTGAGCCAGAAGGTTCCGCGGAGGCGGGGAGACCCCTTCAGGGAAGGCGCTGAGGATGGTCCTGACATGAAGGAGAAGGTTCATCAAGGCCAGAGGGACCCAGGGATCTGGAAGCGGTGCTGCCCATGTGGTCTCAGAGGAGCAGCAGACACGGGCAAGGTTGCATTTGGAGTTTTTGCTGACGAAGCGTAAACCCTCTCCCGGCCTGGAGCCAGCTTCCTGCGCAGCCCGCACCTGGCGTCCAGACACCGCGGCCCTCTCGCCAGGCCTCGCAGTTGCTTCGGGATCGCTTACCCGGCGACGCCGTGACTTCGTGCGGCCGCACGGCCTGTGGCCACCCTGCCAGGATCCCAGGAGAGGCTCGACGGAGACCTCTCTGCCTCCAGAGCTGGCATTTCTGGGGGCCTGCCATGTTGGGAAGATGGGGGGCCTCCGCAGGGGCCTCAGGGACAGCCCGGGACTGAGGCTGAGCCTTGGTGGGGGGAGGCGAGGGCTCCCAGGTACTTCTCCGGCCCCCCAGGGCCTGGCGCCCGGGGGCGGGGCCGCCGGCTGCCGTGGGTGAATCTGCGTCTGATGGTGACGCTCTTCTGTTCCAGGAGTTTGACAAGAGTGTCCAGAAACTTCTAGCGACGAGGATCGCTGTGTACCTGATGACCTTCCTCATCGTGACCGTGGCCTGGGCGGCACACACGAGGTACGGGCAGGCTGGGGCCTGTTTCTGGGCTGGCAGCCACATCTTTGTGGCTGGCTGGGTGTGTGCCCAGCAGGTGTGGCCTCGCCCTGGCCGAGGGTCAGGGTGGCAGTGGGGGTGCACTCGGCGCTGATGAGCTGTCCTCGGGGTAGATGGCGGCCCCGCCCTCTGGGGCTGAGTCACGAGGGGTCACGTTAGTGGGCTGCCCCTCCCCTCCCCTCCCCCGGCCCCCCCTGCTGGGTCAAGCCTCTGCTTTCTCCTCTGCACACGGCAGCAACAGGGCTTACACCCCAGGCCCGGGACGATGAACGGGGTGCTGGGTGCAGCGCTGCTCGGGCCGCCGTGAGCCCGGGCAGGGCAAGGGCAGGGCTGTGGGTTGCCCACCTCTGCTGCACTGTGACACACGTGCTGTGCACGGCCCCTCCGTCCTGATCCCTGGACTCTGGTGAGGAGGCTGGGGCCTCGGGACACACACTCCAGGGCCCGAGCTCTCTGTTAAGGAGGAAAAGGTTCCTTAGGACCCAAGGGGGACAGGGCCCCAGAGCTGTGGGCGTCACCTGAGCCCCCGACGGGGCGCAAGGACCAGGAGGACCCCCGGAGGTGGGTGGGGATGGGCTGGGTGCTGGCTTCTCGGTTACAGAACGCCCCCCAGCAGTGCAGACCTCCCCAGTTGGGGGAGAAGGCCACATCCTCGTGGGTCAGAACCCTGGGGGGGACCGTGTGGGGGCCGGGGAGGGGCCGGGGCCTCGGGAGCTCTGCCTGCTTCCGGCCTCCGTTTTCAGGCTTCTGTCCGCGTCTTTCCGTCTCGGTGTGAGACCGTCTCTGTCGTATGAGTGTCTGTGTTTGATGCCGTTAGAACCATGTTTACTGACAGCATGACTTTTCCTGTTTTCCTTAAATTGTTGAGATTGTTCCAGGTTGTTGGGAAGATAGACGATACGCTTGCCCTGCTTAACCTGGTGAGTTTGTCCTTTGGTTTCTGCCTTGCTCAGCTCCCCGGGGGGTGCCCCGGGTGTGCGGGCTGGGCCGCGCCCACTCCCAGGGCCCCCGCACGCCGCCCTCAGCACCCCTCCCCCCTCCCTCCCTCCCCCCAGGCCTGCATGATGAGCATCACCTTCCTGCCGTTCACGGTGAGTCCCAGGGACTTCCGCCCCCTCCTCCACCTGGGCGTCCAGCCTGCCCTCCTGCACAGGAGGGCTCTGCCCCTAAGGTGCTCCCTTCTCAGAAGCTCTCAGGCCACTGGGAGGCCCAGGGCCTGGACCACGGGGTTGCAGAGAGGAGAGAATTTTCCTGGGGAAGGGCCGACCCTGGGTTTCCAGGCTGGACGGAGTGGGGAGGCTTCCAGGGCCCCAGGCGGGGCTGTCGGGGGCAGAGACCAGCCTGGCCTCCAGGGGCGCAGTGAGGGGCGCCCTCTCCATGCTCCCTGAGGCTCTCGGCTCCCGCCTGAACCCTGGAGCCCACGGCCTCCTGGCCGACCTGGGCTCGTCCCCAGCACGTGACCCCTCCGTCTCCTCACCCCGCAGCTCCCTCTGGTTCTGACAGAGAGCGGGGCTCTGGGTACGTAGCCCATCGCGGAGAACTGGGGTCTGGGGAGTCTATGAATCTGATAAGCGCACAGCTTTAAAGGCTTCCAGCACTGGGCGGGATGGCTCTGTGAGAGAGACGCCTCCAGGGCTCGGGCCGTCCCACCCAAGACGGCTCTGCTGCTGAGCGGCGGAGCCCAGCTGATGCACGGGGCTCACGGGCCCTGGGGCCCTGCGGTCCTGATTCTGGGATTTTTTCTGGCTGCAGTTTTCCTTGATGGTGGCCTTCCCCGAGGTGCCTTTGGGCATCCTCCTGTTTTGTGTGTGTGTGATGGCCGTCGGGGCCGTGCAGGTAGGACACCGGCGCCCTGCCCCCACACCCCGTCCTCGTGGAGCAGAAGATGTAGCGCGTGTGGGGCCGCCCGTGGCGGGAGCCGTGCAGACGCCACCTGCCACGCAGCGCCTGCCACGGGGCACCCGCGTGGGCCGCGGCAGGGCAAAGCCAGAGACGCTCGGGGCCTGGGCTTCCTGTGCTGACGGGGAGAGAGAGTGAAATGGGGCCGCCGGCACCCTCAGGCGGGGCTCTGTGAGACCCGCACCCGACCCCCAGAGCAGAGCGAGGGCTCCCGTCCACTCTGCGCCCCCAGAACATCCTGCAGCGAGCCCCACCCGAGACCCCGCTCGCACCCTGCAGCCTGCCTCTCCCGCAGGCGCTGATCGTGGTCTACGCCTTCCACTGCCCCCACCTGCTGAGCCCCCAGATCGAGCGCTCGGCCCACCGGGCCCTTTACCGGCAGCACATCCTGGGCATCGTTCTCCGGGGCCCGGCGCTGTGCTTGGCTGCGGCCGGCTTCTCCCTCTTCTTCTACCCAGTGGTGAGTCGGGGTGGGGGCGCCGGGGGGTTGTGCGGGGGGCCCACCGGGGGGCTGCTCTGCGGGGAGGAGCCCGCGTGGGCAAACACGGCGCACGCCCTGTAGGCCCGGGAGGCCGCGTGCCTTCTAAAGACGTGCGTGCATAGGAACGTGAGCCGCCAGAAGAGAGAGAAAGTGGAGAAGGAAACTCCAGAGCAGGAGAGACTGGAGTGGAGAAGAGGGAGGTGCAGGCGAGGGTGGAGCTGGGCGAGGGCCGGGCGGACGCACCCCCAGCGTCCAGGGAGAGACGGCGGCCGCGCGGGCAGAGCCGTGCGGGACTCTGTCCACGGCGCCCTCGAGCCTGCAGGTCGTGCTTTTCTTTTTTAAATTTACTTATTTATTTATTTACTTCTTTTTAGTGGAGCGTAGTTGCCTTACACTGTTGTGTTAGTTTCTGCTGTACAGCAAAGTGAATCAGCTCTACGTACACATACATCCCCTCTGTTTTGGATTTTCTTCCCATTTAGGTCACGGCAGAGCATTGAGTAGGGTTCCCTGTAGGTTCTCGTTAGTTCCGTTTCATACGTGGTAGCAACAGTGTATACGGAGGGTCCGCCCTGGCCGAGCTGCCGGCGCTGAGCCACAGCTGAGTCGACAGGTATATTGTTCTGGTGCAGGTTCCCTCATCCAGGAAGGGGAAGGGAAACCCTAGTGAGCCGCCGTCCCAGAGCTGCTTGTAGAAGCTGGATGCGCAGCTCCTGCCTTTAATTAACTGAGCTCTAGTGAGGTAAAGTGAATCTCTACACCCAGAGCATCGTAAGACGTGTGAAAAAATGAACGGTTAACGTTACTTTAAACATCTAGTAAGTGTTTTAAGAGAATTCAAGTTTAAAACAAACAGGATGGCAAGGCCTGCAGAGCCGCACCCTGGAGGATGGAGCTGGGGGCTGGGGTCCAGTGTCCAGGGCGCCCCAGGTCAGGCCACGGGTGGGTAAAGGGGAGGGTGGACGTTGCCGTGTGAGGTGGGGCCGGGCCTCGGGCTTCTACTCGGTCCCCTCGCCGTACAGTGTCTGCGCCTCTTGGGTGGGCCCCGCTCCTCTCGGGCGGGAGGGATGCTGCGGGGGCCCTCGGGGTCAGGCGGGGTGTCCCAGGGTGGGGCTGGCGATGGGGAGGCACAGAGAGACAGCAGGGCAGGACTGAGGGGCCCACTGCGTCCGGGCTTCCGGTGGGACAGCCCCTCCTGGCTCTGGGGACAAGGTCAGGGGCTGAGGGGCGGTGAGGGTCGTCGCGTGGAGGACGGAGGGCACAGCTGGGATGTGGTACGTGTGGCCTGGGTCAGGAGAAGCAGGCAGAGCTGAGGCCCACGGGGGCCGTGCCCACTGGTCGGGCCTGGACACTGGCCCCGGGAAGCCCTGGGGCAGGCAGACAGGGCCCCGCGCGCTGCCGGGGACCGCGATGAGCCTGCGCAGTGGCCACACCCTCACGGGACGACAGTGGTGGGAGGCAGGCGCTGGGCCGCCACACTGGGGAGAGGAGAGTCCTCGGTGGGGCTGGGGGGTCTGCGGCCTCGGAGGGAGCGGTCGGTCGTTTCTCTGTGCTGCGTTTTTTGCCCCTTCCTCTCCATCCCTCCCACTCCTTCCCCACAGTGGGGGTCTGACCCCTCGTCCCCTGTGAGACGAGGCATGTCAGAGCCTCCTGGCCCCCAGGCCCACCCCCTGCAGCCTCCCCACGAGCCCACGGCCATCCTTCCAGGCGTCCTCACCAGCCCCTTCCCTCACGTGGGACGCTGTGCGGGGTCCACCTTCCAGGGCCAGCCACTGCTCACTGCCCTGGCCCAGGTCGTCCTGACCTCCCTCTGGACCACCTCCTCCACTGGTGACACTCGGGGCCCAGGGCCTCCCATGCCAGCTTCCTGTGCCGGCTGCTCCCAGGACTCGCGCTCCTCCACACCTGGGCAGGTCCCCGTGGCCATTTAGATCTCCCCCCGCCCCGGAACTCAGGCTCCCCCTCGGGCTGTTCTGTTCCCTCCTGCCCCGCAGCGCACGTGCACACACACAACACACGCCGATCCTGCATGGCCACCGTCGCCCCCCGGGGCCTCTGCACTCACCTGCCAGGCACCTGGGACACTCCACCCCCTCGGTGTGTGTGTGTTGAGTGACGTGTATGGTGTGGTCTTCTGACGTGTGGAGACTGGAGGTCGTAAGCAGAGCTGTGATGCCGGCCGCCCCCCGTCTGTCCCCGAGGTGCCCGTCGTCTCCTGAGTCCCCTCACCAGGCCAGGTGCCAGGTGACCTTGAAGCATGACCGTGAAGGACGGGGTGGAAGCCCTTCGCTGAGAGGGGCCACCGGCCAAGGCGACAGGGCTGGGCGAGGAGCTTTCTGCGGCGACCTGGGGCCCGGGAGCACGCCTGTCCCGTCAGCCTCCCTGTTTAAAATAACTGGGTGTCCACGTAGCAAAAAATTGACCACTGTGACCATTTTATCTGCGGCGTGCAGCTCGGCGGCATTGACCGCCGACGTCGCCGTGCCTCACCTCCCTCTGGTTCTGGGACTTTTCATTCCCCCGAGACAGAAACCCTGAGCCCGTGAGCAGCCACTCCCTGTCTCCCCACCCTCAGTCCTGGGAAACTCGAGTCTGCTTTCTGTGTGTAGGGGTTTGCTTATCCTGGTTCCTTCATATAAGTGGAATTATGAAACAGGGGGCTTCTACGTCTGGCTTCTTTCACTCGGCATGTTTTCAAGTGCATCCACGTCGCCGGTGTCAGGATTCCCTTCCTCTTCATTAGCCGGTGGTACCCCACTGTGTGGATGGGCCCCGTCACCCACCCACGGACACTCGGTGGCTGCTGTGAGCATGGGTGTGCCCGGAAGTGGACTTGCCGGGTCCTGTGGCGATTCCCTGTTTAGTTTCTGAGGAACCTCCCGACAGTTCTCCAGCAGCTGCGCCATTTCCGTTCCCACCGACGGCGCACAGGGCTCCAGCCCCACCCCACCCCAGCACGGCTGCTCCCTGTTCCCGCTGGGAGCGTCCCGAGGTGTGCGCTGCTCTCCTCGTGGTTGTGACTGGCGTTTCCCCGAGTGTTAGTGGTACTGAGCGCCTCCCCACACGTGTCGGGGCCGCGTCTCTTCTTCGGAGAAATGTCAGTTCAAGTCCGTGGCCCATTTCTCAGTTGGGTTATTTGTCTCCGTCGTGGAGCTGTCGGGGTTCCTTATGAAGCCTGGATAGTAACCCTTACCAGGCGTGTGGTCTGCAAACATCTCCTGTTCTGTGCGATGTCTCTTCACCCCCCGGTAATGCTCTTCTACGCCCAGAAGCTTGCTGTCTTGATGGCGGCTGACTCACCTGTTTTGCCTCCTGTTGCTCGGGCTGCAGTCCCTTCCGGGCGGGCAGCTTTGGGCTGGGATTCCTGGCTGGGCCCCCCAGTGGAGGCGCCGCGCGCCCTGACGTGCCCTGTGCCCTGACGTGCCCTGTGCCCTGACGTGCCCTGTGCCCTGTCTCATGCAGTCGTACCTGCTGATGGCGACAGTCATCTTCCTGCCCTACGTCAGCAAGGTCGCCGGCTGGTGCAGAGCCAGGCTTGTGGGTAGGTGCCAGGCAGGGCTGGAGTGTGGGGTGCTGGGGCTGCCGCCGGGGCGTGCAGAACACGGGCCGGGCAGGCGGCGTCCCTGCGGGGCCTCCTAGCTGGCCCGAGGCCCTGAGGGCTTGGCTGCCCCTCCCACAGGCCCCAGGGAGCCCCCGGCTCACAGCCTGGAGATCTTCACCTTTGACCTGCACGAGCCGCTCAGCAAGGAAAGGGTGGAGGCCTTCAGCGACGGGGTCTACGCCATTGTGGCCACGCTGCTCATCCTGGACATCTGGTGAGGACCCGCCGGGCCAAGACTCCTCTGCCAGCCCCACAAAGGCGCCGAGGTCTCCCGGCCCACCCTCCCCAAGGGGCTCCCACCTGAGAAGGGCCCGGTCCTCGTCCTTCCCAGAGCTGCGCACGCAGGGCGGGCGGCCCAGGCTCCCCGCGTCCCTCTCCTGCTCCGAGCCCGCCTCTTCCCTTCGCTCCTGCGCTTCTGCTCGGCCAGGCAGCCTCTGCGGTCTGTCACAGTTCCAACCTTAGCTGTTGTCATTTTATTTCTGTTTTATCTGCTGCTTTTTCAAGTCTTCCGTCTTTTCTTTAAAGCCTTTTATTCCTTGGTCGTACTTCAGCACGTTCTTATTTTGTTAACGTTAAAATGCTCTGATTTTATGTTCTGTAACTGATCACCTAAGGTCTTTTTTTCCTTAATATAAATTTATTTATTTATTTTTGGCTGCGTTGGGTCTTCGTTGCTGCGCGCGGGCTTTCTCTAGTTGCAGCGAGTGGGGGCTACTCTTCGTTGTGCTGCACGGGCTTCTCATTGCAGTGGCTTCTCTCATTGCGGAGCACGGGCTCCAGGCGCGCAGGCTTCAGTAGTTGTGGCACGTGGGCTCAGTAGTTGTGGCTCGCGGGCTCTAGAGCACAGGTTCAGTAGTGTGGCACACGGGCTTAGTTGCTCTGTGGCATGTGGGATCTTCCCAGACCAGGGCTCAAACCCGTGTCCCCTGCATTGGCAGGCGGATTCTTAACCACTGCGCCACCAGGGAAGTCCCTCACCTAAGGTCTTGATGCTCCTAAATTTCTCTTAGTAGCTTTTCCCTACTGTAATTTGTGAATTTTTAAAAATTGGGAGCAAATGTCCATTGGCACCAATCTCTGAGACCTAGACCTAAGGTTCTGGGGTGATCTGGCTTTGCTTCTGCCCTGCAGCCAGGCCATGCTGGCTTGGGTCCCCTGCTGGGTGGTAGCAAGGAGCCAGCTGTGGCTGGGAACCCCGGGGGGTGGGGGCAGTCAGGGTTCTTTCCTCCACCCAGAGCCACAGCCCCGAGGACCCAGGTGGGGATCCCCGGGAAGCCCCCAGGCTCTGTCTCCCGCCCCCAGCCCCACCAGCACACGTGGAGCCGCCATCGTGGGCACAGAGGTGTATCTGGGCTGCGTGGCTGCAGGGCGGCAGCGCCATGACCTCAGTGGGGAGAAGCCTGGGCCGGATGTGCCTTAGAATCGCTCCTTAAAATAAAGTTCTGCCCAGGAACCTGAGGACCTCGGAGGCAAAGCCCTTCAGGTCTGTGGGACCGCTCCCGAAGTGGACGGGCCGCTGCAGGACGGTGGGCAGGCCTCAGGAGCACCCACCCGTGGGCGCCAGAGGGGCTGCGGGCTCAGGGCCCCGTGCCGCTCACCAGCCCAGGGTCCGGTGGGCAGGGCTGCGGTCAGCCAAGGAAACACAGGCTGCAGTTGAACTTGAACTTCAGGTGAACGGCGATGCATGTGTGAACACAGGTGCGCGCAGTCTTAGTGTATGCCGTCCGTTCATCTGAAGTTCAAGTGTGCGGGGGGCCGGCAGCCCGCGCAGGGGCTGGGACGGGGTGGGGGCAGGCAGCCCGGAACGGACGCCCGAGGTGGGGCCGCTGCAGATGCTGTGTATCTCACCCCTCAGTGAGGACAACGTCCCGGACTCCAAGGACGTGAAGGCGAAGTTCCACGGCAGCCTAGTGGCGGCACTGGGCGCGTCTGGGCCGCACTTCCTGGCCTACTTCGGCTCCTTCGCCACGGTGGGCCTGCTCTGGTTCGCCCACCACTCGCTCTTCCTGCACATCCGCAAGGCCACGCAGCCCATGGGCCTGCTCAACACGCTCTCGCTGGCCTTCGTGGGCGGGCTGCCCCTGGCCTATCAGCAGACGTCGGCCTTCGCGAGGCGACCCCACGACGAGCTGGAGAGCGTACGAGTCAGCTGCGCCATCATCTTCTTCGCCAGCATCTTCCAGTTCGCCATCTGGACCACGGCGCTGCTGCAGGGGGGGGAGACGCTGCAGCCCTCGGTGCGGTTCGGGGGCCGGGAGCACGCGTTCATGTTCGCCAAGCTCGTGCTCTACCCCTGTGCCAGCCTGCTGGCCTTCGCCTGCACCTGCGTGCTCAGCAGCTTCAGCACGGCCATCTTCCACGCCATGCAGATCGCCGTGCCCTTCACCTTCCTCCTGCTGCGGCTTCTGGTGCGCTTGGCACTGGCCGGCCTGCGGGGCCTGCGGGGTCTGGCCCGGCCCACACACACCCGGCCGGTGCCTGGGGCCACGGACGATGCGCAGTCCCCGCTCCTCCCTGCTCCCTGCTAGTGTGGCCCCGGTCCCCTGCCTGAGGTCCAAGTGTCCGGCTGGTGGCCCGGCCTCGGGTTTGGTTTTCCTTGTGAAGTTTCATGCTCTACCTCAGCCCCTCAGATTGTCTTCCACTGTTGCAGACAAGAGTCTCGCAGGAGTGTCACTGTGTCCCACGTGCCTGTTGTCTGCCTCGACCGAGTGGAGATGAGCCGCGGGGGGGCCGCAGGCAGCGGGTGGTTCCGGGGCAGCTGGGGCCGCAGCCCCGTGGTGGGTGTGGGTGTGCGATGTGGCCTGGTCCTCAACAGGCAGCACGTCCCGCGGGCAGAGGGCCCTGGCAGCTGCTCGGCTCTCCAACCGGCCCCCACATCCCAGGCCTCCTCCCCCAGCACACTGGCCTCGGGCACAGACGCAGGACGCGGCAGCAGGCTATCCAACCGGCCCCCACATCCCAGGCCTCCTCCCCCGACACACTGGCCTCGGGCACAGATGCAGGACACGGCAGCAGGCTATCCAACCGGCCCCCACATCCCAGGCCTCCTCCCCCGACACACTGGCCTCAGGCACAGACGCAGGACACGGCAGCAGGACAGGACGCCCAGACTGTATTTGTCCCACATATAAATTACGGTCACCTTTAGGTGATAAGTTACAAATGAGGGGGGGGCGGAGCAGAGCCCACGCAGCCCCTCCGGGCACACAGAGTCACGCACGCACAGAGGACACGTTCACCTGAACCAAAATTTACAAGACGGTCCACATTGACCAACGGGGCCCACAAAGCAGAAGCTGATGCCATCCCCGGGGACGCAGACCTGGGGACACACAGCGGCTACCAGAGGCACGTGGCGAGGACGGGCCGCCACCCACGGCTGTTCCGATGCACGTGTCTGGACAGTTTTGGCACGAGCTTGGCGGGTACGGGGCTGGGCAGGCCATGTCCGAGGTTGGGGCCGAATGTCAGGGTGAGGCCACCACCCAGGGTGCGAGGGCCCAGCGGCAAGACAGCGCCAAAGGCAAAGAGACCAGGCGATCAGGAGAGGGGCTCGTGGACCCTTCTCTGGGGCTTTGGGGGCTCCCAGGCAGCTGGGGTCGGGCTCTTCTGGGGACCAGGTCGAGACTCTGGGCCGGCTAAACTCTGGGGCTCTGTGGTAGGGGCTCTGCGAGTGGCCCGCCAGACAGCCACGTTTGCATCCTGTTTCGCCAGGTCTCCGCGTGGAGACGCACGGAGATCATACGAGTCCTGTCTGCCCAGCAGTGGGCACGGCACCCGTGTGCTGACTGTCGGCAAATGGGAGGCCGAGCGCCGCGATGGTCTTGTGCCGCGTCGGCCTTGCTGATTGAAGCCGCCCCCGCTCTTCCGCACGCTCTCCGCACTTCCTCTGGGCCCCCAGCCAGGCTCCTGCTACCTCCTGGGCACCACCTGGCCTCCTCGGGGCCCTCCCATCCCAGCCCTGTCACTCCGGGGCCACCAGCCAGCTTCCGACTGGGCCGGCCAGACACCACCCGGGCTTGGAGAGGCACGTCCCCCAGGACAGCCCTCGGTGGAGAGGTGAGGCCAAAGAGCTGGTGGCCAGGGTGTCCCGTGTCTGTGCTGGGCAACCCCAGGGTCCAGAGAGCCAGTTGCCCTGTAGGAGCATCCAGGGGGCCAGCCCAAGGGGCATGAGGTGAGGTGCAGCACTGCCTGGCTGAAGGGGTCAGAGGTGGCAGAGGGACCTGGGGAGGAGTGTGTGCCCTCCAGGACAGTGGCCCGGGCCCCAGAGAGCCCCGTGCCCACCCATCACTGGGACGAAGGCCACCCAGCACTTGTGTGTGGCACGGGGACGGGACAAGAGGGAAACACCCAAGGGCAGGGCTGTGGGCGAGTACATCCACCAGCGAGCGCTGCTCCAGGAGCCGCCTCTACTTGGAGTCCCCCTCAGGGGCAGGCGCCCCATCTGCTCGCACATCCTTGGGGGTCCCCGCCTTCCTGGGCTTCTGCTTGGCCTTCCTGAGCATGTGGACCTGTCCCGAGACAGGCAAGGTCTGAGGGCTGTGCAATACTGCAGGCCACCTGGTGCCGGGTCCTAGGACGGCCGCTGCCATCTCAGCCCATCTTACAGAAGGGGAAAGAGCGGAGCGTGGTGTGACCGCGGCTTGTGGGGAGGGGCTCCCTGGGGGCTGGCCGGCCTCATCCAGCCTCACGACCTCCCCGCGTCAGGGAAGAACCAGCCGCAGCAGGACCGCCAGGCGCCCAGGCCATGCCGGCCACTCCGCGCAGCCGAGGCCTGTGGGCAGCGATCCCCCTGCCCAGCCCGCGCCGGGCGTACCTTCGGGCCTGCGGCCGAGATGATCATGTGCCCGGGAGCCTGGACCCAGGGCTCACCGTCCACCTGCACAGGTGCGGCCTTGAGGAGGGTGACACGGAAGTAGGACCCCTGGGCGATGCGGATGCCGGAGCGCAGCCCACCCTGGACCTGACCCTGGTGGGGGAGAGGGGGAGCCATGCTCAGAGGGCCGCAGCGCCGCAGCCCGGCCCCCCGGTCCCCCGCCCCCGCGCTCACCATGTGCACGACGCCCGTCACCCCCACCACCTCCAGCAGCCCGTCGTCCATGCGTGGCTTCTCGAATCTCGAGTCACTCTCGGAGCCCCACAGGTCGGCCCCCGAGCCCCAGCTGCACCAAGAAGGAGGGGCACACAGGTCAGAGGGAGGCCAGAGGGAGGCCGGGGGGGGGCCGGAGCCCGGGCGCCCCGCGTGCGGGCACCTGGGGATGTTGATGAAGATGAGCCCCTCGATGCTAGGCAGCTGCACCTCCTGCCGCCCCGCCTGCAGCCGCAGGGCCCTGTGCAGGCCGCGGGAGCGGTTCATCTTCTGCAGCCCAGCCCGCACGTACACGCCCTTGTTGTGGAACCTGGCGGGGGACCTACAGTCACGGGGCGAGCCCCCAGGAAGTACATGGTCGCCAGGGCAGCCCCGCACCCACCCCTGCCCCGCGGCACCTGCTCGTGAACTTGCCGGGCTCTTCCTCTCGTGCCTGGTGGAAGTCCAGGCTTAGCTCTGCGTCGATGCCAATCCCACAGTAGTTACTCATGTGCACGATCTGAGAACAAGACGCGTTGTCCCTTGGCCCCGGTCGGCCCCCACCATGTGCTCCCCGCTGCCCCTGTGGTGGGTCCGGCCTCCTGTCACAGAGCTGCTCTGTCCGGTGACTGCCCCACACTCAGGTTCTGAGCCGGCCATCCCCAGGCCCGGCACCCGTGTCCACGAGGGAACAGCGCTGGTGCCAACGCCAAGGCGTGGCTGGGACAAGGACGAACACCTGGACAAACGTGGTAGAGAGACGCCAGCCGGGTGCCACACCCCCGCCCGGGCACACCGGTACCTTGGGGGGCTCCGCGTCTGCCACGCTGTTCTCCCCACTGCCGGCCTCATGAGCGTCCAGCAGGATGGTCCAGCGGTCCACGAGCACGGCGTCCGCCTCGTCCACCGACACCAGCACGGAGAACGGGTCCTCTCCACTGTAGCCCGCCCCCCAGCGGAGGACCCGGCCAAGGTCATTCCCTGGACAGCGGCAAGACACACGCTGACTCTCCACACCCACCCCTCGCCCCGCCAAGCCCGGGGCCCCATCCCCCAACGTGCCAGCTGACCCCACCTGTGCCCAGGGGCAGGATGGCCACGGCAGGCTCTGGGCAAGCCAGGCGGTGCCGCATCTCCTCCAGGGCATCAAGCACCCAGCCCACGGTGCCGTCCCCGCCACACACCAGCACCCGGAAGCAGGGCACCTGGGAGAACACGTGGAACCTGGCGGCAGGGAGACAGGACGTGTCCCGGCACTGGCCATGGCCGCGAACAAGCAGGGACAGGAGGTCACCCCCGGGGCAGAAGCAGCCACAGCTCGTCCCCACCCAGGGTGCCCTCAAGGGTCCCGACCCACCGAACCCCAACCTGTTCCTGCTGGCCGGGGGGCGGGCATGGGCAGCTACCCCTTCTGGCAGGCTCACCCGGGCAGCGGCCCCCCATTGGTCAGCTCAAAGACCTGGTGGGGGTTGAGCAGCTTCCGGAAACTGCAGAGCAGGTCGCGGCCCTTGAGGCCTCCGCTTCTGGGGTTCACAAACACCAGCAGGGGGCGGCAGTGTGGGGGCAGCTTCAGGTGCTGACGGATGGGACTGCGTTAGGGCGGGCTGGCCGGACCCCCAGAGACAGAGCCGGGCCTCCCCCAGCACGCGGCCTGGCAGTGGCGGCCCCTGCCCCTCAGCCCACCTGCCTGAGCCAGTCTGGGGCCGGCCCCTCCAGAGGAAGGCCACGCGGCCACCCCACCTCACCACTGCCTGCTCGGGCTGCATCCCACAACAGAAGGGGCGCCCACAGACCCCTGGCCAGTGGGGCGGGAAGGCACTGGCCAGCCTGGAGCTCTGAGCACATCGGCCATGCCACAGCTGCCACGCCACGTGTCCTCAGACCATGCCCGCCACCAGACCCACATGGCCCAGAAGCCTAGGCTGGAAGCCCACGCAGGACCCCGCCTGCCCCTCTCAGAGCCAGCCCACTGCCAGGCCCCCGCCCACCCACACGGCAGTCAGGAGGGGCAGCCTGGCTCGCAGGGCGGCCCCAGGCCTCCCCTGGGCCACGGGACAAAGCCCGCCCCCAAACACAACGGCAGAAACAGCGCCCGCGAGAGTGGGCAGGGAGCAGGGGTCCCCACGTGGTGAGGACGGGGGCTGGGGTCCCCGCGACGGGGGTTGCTGGGTGACAGGAGACAAACGGGCGCAGACACAGCGGGCAGCGGCCGCACACGGGCTCGGCCGTGGCTCAAGGCCGAGAACACACTGGGGTGACGTGTGAGCCACCGGGCCGAGCTGCCTGCGGTCACCACTTACCTGCTCAGCCCAGGGCAGGCAGCTGCCGGGAGAGAGAAAGTGCGTGTCGGCATCACCCACCCGTCTCTGCCCGTGGAGCCGGCGGAGGGGGGCCCTGACCTGCAGTGGCCGCCTCCTTGTCTGGATGGTAGGACAGGGCAGCAGAAACGTGCAGACGTGGCTCACCCAGTCACAGACCCTGAACTCGTTCTGCTCTAATCCTGCTCGGCCTGAACTGGGGTCCGGTCACCACGGGGGGTCCTTGGGGGCCAGCAGGGCCAAGGACCAGAAGCTACTACTAGGGCACACAGCGCAGGGCGGGGTCTGGGGC